AGAACCACTGTCGTAGATCAATACATTCAGACTGGTGGCAGCAAAGTTATATCATCATGTAATTGGTGAGTGAAATCAACTGTTGTACCACACAATTCAAAACATACATTTTAACAGACAAAAGCCCTTTGAATTGCCCATAGCCGCCCCAGCAGAAGCTGGCTTTGCTGTGATTGGCAAAACCAATCAGCTGGGCAGGATTCTCTGGTGAGGTGGGACTGTGGGACCATCCAGCCAATCAGAGAGCTTTCTCCACTTCTGATGCAGATTTCTCCTCTCCAATGGCTGATGGGGGACAGGCTGATCCAGGAGACAAAGGTGTGCAAAGTGCTTTTGGATGAATAACCTTTATCCCATCGAGGGACAGAACAAAGAGGGGTTATCAAGTCCCATGCATTTCATAGAATAGGAGCCCCCGGTGGCACAGTGGGTTAAACCCCTGTCCCGGCAGGACTGAAGACCGACAGGTTGCAGGTTCGAATCCGGGGAGAGGCGGATGAGCTCCCTCTATCAGCTCCAGCTCCTCATGCGGGGACATGAGAGAAGCCTCCCACAAGGATGATAAAAACATCAAAATCATCCAGGCGTCCCCTGGGCAACGTTCTTGCAGACGGCCAATTCTCTCACACCAGGAGTCACTCCTGACATGACAAAAAAAATATATTGATAGAATGCCTTCGTGTTTCTTTGAATTTTTTTTATTGAATCAAACAAAAACAAAAAAGATAACATGTAAAGGAATCGCTCCCCTGGGTACACTAACGAGCTACGAGCCCTCGTCGGAATCGCTCCCCTTGGTACACTAACGAGCTACGGATGATGAAGCAAGCATGAAAGCGACTGGAACATCTGTGGCGATGGAAACGTGACGAAGTGTCAATGTCTACTTTTAAGGCTTTTCGCAAGTCCTAAGAGTCAGCTGTCAAGGACGCTAAAAAATCATATAATTCTTCCTTAATAGCCTCTGCTAGATCGCGCCCAGCACAGTTATTCAAAATCGTTCGTGCCTTCACTAGTCCGGCTCCTTTAGTCCAGAACCCAACAACTATGTCTATTACAGCTTTGGAATTCCAGAAATTTTTCACTAACAAAATTACCGTGCTTCGGTAGGAACCCCCCCACAGTCGACACTTTGAGTGAGCTTAGTGGGCCTATCTTTGATCAATTTACACCTCTTGACATGGAAGATGTCGCCAGAATTCTGGCTACTGCAAAACCAACCACCTGTTCTCTTGATCCGTGCCCCTTTTGGCTGATCAAGAGCTGCTTGGAAGGTCTACTCGATCCATTGGGCAGTATAATCAATGGCTCTCTTGAACAGGGGTTTTTTCCGGACAACCTAAAAGAGGCAAAGGTTCGTCCCTTGTTAAAGAAACCTAGCTTGGATCCTATGACCTTTGCCAATTACCGTCCTGTTTCTAATCTGCCATTCTTAGGTAAGGTGATAGAGCGGGCTGTACTGGGACAATTGCAGCAATCCCTGGATGACACAGCTGGCCTGGACCCTTTCCAGTCAGGTTTTCGCCCGGGCCATGGGGCGGAGACAGTCCTGGTTGCCATTGCAGATGAACTCCGTCGCCAGTCTGACAACGGTGAATCCGCGCTATTGGTACTTCTCGACCTTACCGCAACATTTGACACCGTCGATTACGATCTAATGATTCACCGTCATGCCATGTCCGGAGTTCGCGGTCAGGCCTTAATTGGTTCAACTCATTTTTCCGGAACCGGAGTCAACGCGTGGAGTACATGGATCAAGTCTCCGATAGATCCCCCCTCCTATGTGGGGTCCCCCAAGGTGCAATTCACTCTCCTCTTCAACATCTACGTTAGACCCCTTGCTAGTTTGGCTTAGAGTTTCGGCCTGGACTGCTACCAATATGCGGACGATACCCAACTCCTTCTGCGCCTGGAGCCTGGAGCAACGTCAATTCCAGACAATTTCACCTGATGAGATGCCACATAATTACAGCTGCATTGTTACCAATTGAGCACCGGATCACTTTCAAAGTGATGGTACTCACCTTTAAGGCCTTGCATGGTCTGGGGCCGATGTACCTGAGGGACCGCCTCACACCCTACCAACCCCAGAGATCCCTCCGTTCTGAGGACCAAGATCTATTGGAAATTCCCAGTGTCAAGACCTTGCGTCTAACAGCAACCAGACGCAGAGCCTTTACAGCAGTGGCACCATCACTCTGGAATACTCTGCCACCTGAAGTCCGTGCCTTGCGGGACTTATCAGCTTTCCACAGGGCATGTAAGACATACCTGTTTCAACAGGCCTTTGATTTTTGATATTGCTGTTTTTAAATTGTTTTAAAATTGTGTTAGATTTTAGTCATTTTTGTAAGCCGCTCCGAGCCCCAGGGGAGTGGCGGCATATAAGTTCAAATAATAAAAATAAATGTGCCATTCAGTCCAACCCCCTACTAAGAAGCAGGAAAATTGCATTCAAAGCACCCTCAACAGATGGCCATTCAGCCTCTGTTTAAAAGCTTCCAAAGAAGCCATTGCTCCGCATCCTAGTCTCCAAGGCAGCAGAAAACAAGCTTGCTCCCTCCTTCCTATGACTTCCTCTTACATATTTATACATGAATGTCATGTCTCCTCTCAGCCTTCTCTTCTTCAGGCTAAACATGCCCAGCTCTTTAAGCTGCTCATCATAGGGCTTGTTCTCCAGACTCGGTGCGGCTTACATGAGGCCGAGCCCATAGAACAATAATAAAAGCAATAACAAAACATCAATACAAAACAATCAAAATAAATCTCATAAACAAAAAATAAACAATAAAGAGTAACGACAAGCATTTAAAAACCTATGGCTGGGCCAAATGTGATAAATAAAAATTAAAAAATAATGCTGGGCATGAACAAGGTAATATACTGGGATAGAATTTTTGGTGAGAGAGGGGCGAGCAAACAATCCTAAATCAATGATAAAGTGCATTTAGAGGACCTATTGCTGAGAGTATTTCCTTATTCTGGGATGGCACACTGGAACAACCACGTTTTCAAGCTCCTCCTAAAAACTGCCAAAGTTGGGGCATGTCGGATGTCCTTGGGCAGTGAGTTCCAGAGTCGAAGGGCCACTACAGAGAAGGCCCTCTCCCTCCTCCCCACCAATTGCACCTGCGAAGGAAGTGGGAGCGTGAGCAGGGCCTCTCCAGATGATCGAAGGGATCGTGTGGGTTTGTACACAGAAATGCAGTCACGTAGGTAGGCAGGTCCCAAACCGTTCAGGGCTTTGTAGGTAAGAACCTGCACCTTGAATTGGGACTGGAAAATGAACGGCAGCCAGTGGAGCTCCTTAAACAGGAGGGTTGACCGCTCCCTATAAGGAGCACCAGTTAACAAACTGGCCGCCGCCCGTTGTACCGGTTGAAATTTAGTCCGTACCCAGTCCTCATCCTCAAATGAGGGGTTGCTTACTTTAAAATGCATTTCCTGAGGTGTGTCTGTGATAAAGTCTTCAGAGAGATAAGGAAAGTGCAAGCAACGTTGTTCTCTTCCCACTGAGTTCCTTCAGAGCAATAATAACTCAAACATCCTCAATACAATGTATTGTCGAAAGCTTTCATGGCTGGAATCACTAGGTTCTTGTGGGTTTTTTCGGGCTATAGGGCCATGTTCTAGAGGCATTTCTCCTGACGTTTCGCCTGCATCTATGGCAAGCATCCTCAGAGGTAGTGAGGTCTGTTGGAATTAGGACAATGGGTTTATATATCTGTGGAATGGCTGGGGTGGGGCAAGGAGCTCTTCCCTGCTGCAGTTAGGTGTGAATGTTTAGCTGATCACCTTCATTAGCATTTGAAGGCCTGCCTGAGCCTGGGAAAATCTGTTGCTGGGAGGTGTTAATCTGTGCCTGGTTGTTTCCTCTCTGTTGTTTTGCTGTTATAATTTTAGAGTTTTTTAATACTGGTAGCCAGATTTTTTTCATTTTCATGGTCTCTTCCTTTCTGTTGAAATTGTCCACATGCTTGTGGATTTCAATGGCTTCTCTGTGTAGTCTGACATGGTGGTTGTTGGTGTGGTCCAGCATTTCTGTGTTCTCAAATAATATGCTGTGTCCAGGCTGGTTCATCAGGGGCTCTGCTATGGCTGACTTCTCTGGTTGAAGTAGTCTGCAGTGCCTTTCATGTTTCTTGATTCGTTTGGGCAATGCTGCGTTTGGTGGTCCCTATGCAGACTTGTCCACAGCTGCATGGTACACGGTAGACTCCTGCAGAGGTGAGAGGATCCCTCTTGTCCTTTGCTGAACGTAGCATTTGTTGGATTTTCTTGGTGGGTTTGTAGATTGTTTGTATGTTGTGTTTCCTCATGCGGTCAGCTGAATCCCGTGGCAACGAAGTTTGCACTCCTCGTGCTCTGCCCCAGAGAATGAGAGGTTTTGGGGGAAAGATTTTGTTGACTCTCTTAGCCCCATTTCCAAGATGAAGCCTACAAAGAAATCATGCATGTCGTGGAACTGAAGTCAATTACTTCAATTAGGTAACGATGTTGAGTTGCCCCCTTTTCATTATCATGAGCTGGTTCCCATCCCGGGAAGGCAGGAGATGAAAACAGAGAGCGAGAGCGCGCGCGCGCCTAGGAAGGTGGCCCGGGGAAGGGGAGGGGCGCTGGGTTCTCCTTTCTCTTCTTCCATTTTCTACGGGTGCCAAAGAAAAGGCGGGAAGACCGTCCTTCCCTACTTGATCCCCTCAGCGGCTCTTTCTTCCGAATCAAAAGCGGCGGCGGCGGCGGCTGGGAACGCCCCCCCCCCCTTAAAAAAGACGCATGTAATACTTAAGGCAGGGTGGGGATGAGGATAATGTTGGAAGGAGGATGGATGCCGGGAAAGGCATCTGGAGAGTCGGATAATCCCCCCCCCCCCCACAAAGGTCTCGAAGTTTTGAGCCTAGTTTAGCGCTGGCTTCGGGGCGGCCAGTAGGGGGCGCCGCCCGCATTGTTTTGCTGGCCGCGAAAGGAGGCGGAGGCGCCGCATTCCCAGCAGCGACCGCTGCGCCTCCCTTTCGCCTCCGCGTCCCGCTGCGGGTAAAGAGCGAGCAGGCGAGTGGCTGGGGTTGCCTGGCTGGCGGAGAATGGCGAAGAAGCTGCCGCCTGCCGCTGCTTCCCTGACTGGAACTGCAGCGGCCGCTTTGCCTTTGCCCTGACCCAGCCGGGAGCCCCGTCCTCTCCCCGCTCAGTTTCTCCTCCTTGGACCCCCTCCTTGGAGAGCGGAGCACGCGGCTCTCGAGGGCTCTCCTCAGGCAAAGAAGAAGGAAGGAAGGAAGGAAGGAAGGAAGGAAGGAAGGAAGGAAGGAAGGAAGGAAGGAAGGAAGGAAGGGGGTCTTCCTCGAAGGCAGAGCCCCCCTCCCCCCTTCCGGGTCCTTCCCTCCTCCCGCGTGAGGTTTTTCTCTCCGGGCCGCTCCGCCTAGATGCTGCGGCGGCTCCTTCTTCTGCCGGGGCGCCATGGCCACCGCGACGCTGCTCTGCCGGGTGCAGTTCCTGGACGACACAGACCCCTTCAACAGCACCAACTTCCCGGAGCCCAGCCGGCCGCCGCTCTACCCCTTCCGCCAGGACCTGCCTCTGGCCACCCAGTTGCCCGGCGTCCACCGCCTCCTGAAAGCCCCTCAAAAGGTACCGGGGAAACAGGGCGCAAGGGGGAAGGAAGGAAGAGAGGGAGGGAGGGCCCCGCCGAGGCCCGGTGGAGGCTGGGCCCAGAGAAGGCTCTGCCGGCCAGGGCCCCGCGCAGCGAAACGGCCTGGGGTTCGGTAGAGATATCAGGAAAGGGTCCCGCCCCCCCCCCCCCCCCACCGCCGGACTTTATGACCACTTTATCACTCAGGGGTCCCAAACCCATTTTCATCCAGGGCCCTATCACCCTAATGGTTGGCTTCAAAGTGCCCTTGAATCCATGGAGGAAGAATCTGTGGATACAGAGAGCCAACGGTTTCTGTGCTTTACATCTAGTTGTTACCTAGTTGGGGTCCTCAGATATTATTTATTTATTTATTTATTTACTAGCCGTCCCCTGCCACACATTGCTGTGGCCCACTCTGGTGGTCATGAGGGTTCTTTGTGGGAGGTTTGGCCCAATTCTATCATTGGTGGGGTTCACAATGATCTGTGATTGTAGGTGAACTACAAATCCCAGCAACTACAACTCCCAAATGTCACGATTCTATTTTCCCCAAACTCCACTAGTGTTCACATTTGGGCATATTGAGTATTTGTGTAGCGTTTGGTCCAGATCCATCATTGTTTGAGTCCACAGTGCTCTCTGGATGTAGATGAACTACAACTCCAAAACCAAAGGTGTTTTCTGTTGGTCATGGGAGAACTGTGTGCCAAGTTTGGTTCAATTCCATCATTGGTGGGGCTCAGAATGCTCTTTGATTGCAGGTGAACTATAAATCCCAGCACTTACAACTCCCAAATGACAAAATCATTTTTTTTTTGAGTGAAGGACATACATTTATTGAGTTGTTAGGTGTCTTGTGTCCAAATTTGGCGCCAATTCGTCCAGTGGTTTTTGAGTTCTGTTAATCCCACAAATGAACATTACATTAAAAAATATATTTTTAATTGGTTTTCTTAGAATACATCGATACATCAATACCTTCAATACATTTTTATTTATATAGATTAATCAGTTTTATATACCACCACTCCCCAAAGCCTTGGAGCAGTTCACAATATACACATGTAATATGTAACATTAAATCAAGTAAAAATTCAATCAGCAAGGTTCAAATGCCAGCCTAAATAAATAAGTTTTACAAGCTCTATGGAAGGATAGTAAATCTCGGAGAGCTCGTGTCCCTGCTGGCAAGGCCCTCCACAGGTAAGGATCGACAACTCCCATTACTTTGGATTTTCTACCACCATGCAGACTGGGGATACTGGGAATTGCAGCCCAACTGCCCTTGTGACTCTGAGGCTGGGGAAAGGGAATTTTTAAAAGTCTGGCATCACGCCCACAAGCCTTGCGTCTAAATTCAAGCCCAACTGACGAAACAGAATCAACTTCAGCCTTGCAGGTGTTACTGCATCACAACTCCCATCAGCTCCAGTCATGATATCTAATGATGGGTAATCCAGCATCTGGAGGGCCACATGAAGTGATATGGTGGGCCAGGTTTGGCCTTTTGGCCTTGAGTTTGACATTTGATCTAAGTGGCTGGTAAATTGGTGGGCTTAATTGATATTGGGTTGTTGTAGGTTTTTTCGGGCTATATGGCCATGTTCTAGGCATTCCCTCCTGATGTTCCACTGAAAAAACCTACAACAACCCAGTGATTCTGGCTATGAAAGCCTTCGACAATACATTAATTGATATTGTTTACAGGTTTATTAGTTATCCAACCTTTCTCATGACATGGGCCCCCAAAGGAGCTTAACAGAAGGCTAAAAATCCACCCAACTTGATGGTAGAAAAGTTCAAACAAGTCATGCTATTAAAACATCATTTGTTTTCAAAAGGCGCAACATCAAAACCACACAGCAGTGAAAAGTTTGCAAACACCTTCTTGGTTGTGTGAATGAAGAAAACTTTTTCATCTTCACTCATATTACTTGGCCGGGATTCAAAACAGGTAGAATTCAAACTTATAAGTGGAACATGTAGTGAAACACTTTTAAAACACCAGATCCTGATCTTGGATCCTAAGCAGGATCAGCCCTGGCTTTACTTGGATGAGGGACTACCAACAAATGCCAGGTGCTATAGGCTATATTTTAAAGGCCTGAACTGGCAATACCATCTCTGAACATTCCTTGCACAAGAAATTCCTAGGAAGTTCATGGGGTTGTCACCTGTCAATAGGTGACTTGAAGGCAGAGACTGTTGACTTATATGTGTGTGTGTGTTTGTGTAGAGTCTCAGTCTGCCATTCTGGAAATTGTTAATGATGAAAAAATGTACTTTATAACAAATATATCAGAAACGTGTTGATGGCCATTGACTTAGATGGCTGTAAAATGGATTAAGCAAGAAGATACAGGGGTCTGGATCCTGACTTAAATTCCTAATTCTTTGGCTCCTTTGAAATCGATAGGATGTAATTTAGCTTAACCTGCAGCATTGTTGGCAAAAAAATGATGGTCTTGCTCCAGATCATACAGATTTGGTGTATAAATGACTGTTCATTACGTATGTAGACGCTCCAGACTCAGTGACAGTCTAGTTCTAAGTTGAATTTCAGGGATGGTGGCAGGGTAAAGAATAAGAATAAAAATCATCCTATGTTTTACTCTGTTGTAACTACAATATTGTAAAAAACATATTGAGCATTGCACTAGTCCCATAGTCATTGTTGGGTTGCTTTATTTGTATCTATCATAATAAAATATTATGCTACAATTCTATCACTCACCAAATGGCTGCTTATACAGCCAAGTTATAACTTTTATCCTAAATACTAGGAGGGAGGAGGCTGATCCGATCTCACTGGGGAGAGAGTTCCATGGCTGAGGGGCCACCACCGAGAAGGCACTGTCCCTCGTCCCTACCAGTTGCACCTGTGAAGGCGGTGGGACCGAGAGCAGGACCTATCTGGCAGATTTTAATGCTCAAACTGGTTCATAAAGGGAGATATAGGACAGATAAGCTGGGCCGGAACCATTTAGGGTTTTATAAGCTAAAGCCAGACTGTTACAACTCTTTCCCATTTGCTTTTGTTGTATCCTCTTTGGTATGTCCCAAATTTGCTATGAACTAAGATTGTCTCATTTGCTGAGACCATTTATTTTTTGGTTTTTGTACCTTGTTTACTTCGCACAACGTTCATGATCTATTTAAAATAATTCATAATATTTGTTGTATCTCTAAATTTATAGAATGATGGAATATAACTACCTGCAGTTTCTCAAGTCGCTCCTGACACACAAACATGCATACACGCACGCACACACAAAACTACCTCTATTCAACACTGGTGTTTTCAGTATACAGGTCGTGTGTTTTTTTTTTATTCTGAGTTTATTGGAAAACCCATTCTGAAAATTAAGAATTAGAGTAATCTTATCATATATATGTTTATTGAAGCAGATCTCTGAATTTATCACAACATAAATGCAGCAAGGTCTGTACTTGTAGTTTCTGGCAAAGGCTTAAGCTAAGAATGGCTGTGTAAAAATAGTGCAACACTATGCTGATCCATAGCACTGCATGGGGGTGGAGATGGAAACTGATCAGTTAGTTAGGGTGACTGGCATGTGCAACCTGAGATCCTTGTGCATGGTTTCTGAATGTGTTGTCAGTTTGTATTTGTAGCTATTTCAAAAAATGTTGAAATGGTGCTTGCAAAAAGCTATGTGTCTGTGGAAATGTTCAGAGGTACATGGAGGAAGCACAAGAAATATATGCCCAATGTAGCCTTGCTTTGAATAAAATGTCACTAATGCTTTTTCTTTCTTCTTAAGTTGAACTTTTTTTGGAACTTGGAAAATTAGATAGCTGGCCTCTGTTCCATGAGAGTGGTAGAATAAATGCCTCTGAATATCAACAAGGGGCAATTTGCTTTTGGCATATTTAACTGATTAAGGTTTTCGTGTTGCCATTAATAATTAATGTGTGTTATTTTGCTTTGCTCCCAGGGAGAAAGGCGGAGGGAGTGAAGACAGTGCTTTCCCCTTCTACAAAGACTGTTCAGGACAGATGGTCCTCCCACTGATTAATTAAAACAACCTTAGATTTTGTAGAAAACCTTTAAAGCAGACCCACTATGGGACCAATCTGACATATTGTGCCCAGTAGCAACCTGATGCAATGTTGGGAAGATATATAATCAAGGATTGGTGGTGAAGTTGTGTTGAGGAAAGGGCAGATATTATGAACAAGCACAGAAAGGAGTGTTTAAGCTTACTGTTGTGCTGGTCTTATGAGCTGACAGTTGTAAGGAGGCTTCGGTAAAAATAGCAGTTAAGTCTACTGTCCTTGGAACAGTTGATATCCTTGTTAAAGTGACAGCATTCACCATAGCTGTCAGGCAGACCAAAACCTTTTGTAAAATCTTGCCTTCTTTTTATGTGTGTCAATATTCTAAATGCATCTCTTGTAGATCCCATGTCATGCAGTATGCAGCAATTGTTTATATAGTTTACTTGATCTAAAGTGAGCTTTACAAAGTGGCATAATTGCAAATGCCTCACAGAAGTTTTTAATCTAAAATGTGGCATATGAACAAGTTCTGCTACCCATGCATACACTAGGGAGAAGTATTAGGGGTTAAGCTAAAAACTTAATGAAAGAAAGGAGGTAGCTTGGAGGAGTGTATTAGAGGGAAGATTGAGAGGGTGCACTCAGAATTCAGTTCTCAGAGACCATAAAGGGGTTAAGTGTAGAATCATTTTTTAAAAAGAGTTTAAATTAGCTAAGTGCAACAGGAACACTTTAAAACCGCTTTTAAAATTGTGTTCTGGAAACACTTGCCACAATAGGGTTTGCTTGTGAAAGTGTGGTCCATATGCCACATCACTGAGTGAACTGAAGAAGATTATGGGTCGTGTTCCAGAAAATGTCAAATTACACAGGCCTTGGCCTTTGCAAAGTCAGAGTTTAATTTAGCGTTCTAAACTCTGCATGTGCAAGAACTAGTGCTAGGCAATTATCTTTCGGGAATAGCTTGCCTTGCCAT